AGGGGTGGGAGAAAAATATGAATACCTCCATTTTACAGCTGAAGAACTGAGGCACAGGGAGAATGGATGACTAACCCAAGCTTCTACATCCAGTATGGGGCAGAGATGAGAATGGAACCAAGGTTTCTTGAGTCCCAGCCCAGTGTTCTTTAACCACAAAATCTTTCTCCCCCTGTTTCTTTAGTTGTTTATTTTAGTGCAGACAATAGGTTCAGCTCTGGGCACAAAATGAAACCATCGCTGCCTCAAAGAGCTTACAGCAAAAGGCCCCAGTTCTGCAGTTGCACCCACTAGCTTGGACTTGCAGCCTTTGTACACAGCTCCCAATCAATGTGTCAGCCAATGGACATAAGGGTCTGTGCTAACAGATGTGATTGCAGGACCAGAGCCTAAAAGACCAAAAAAACAAACAACAACAAAAAGCCTAAAAGAGGAGAGCAGATGTACTGGGAAACCCAGGAACTTTGTAATGATATTAAATCATTTCTGTGGGCATTGTGCAAAAAGCTATGACTTATTTGTACTAGTGGGCTAGATCCTCAGCTGGACTAAATCACAATGGCTCCAGTGGAACTAGTGAAGATACGTTGATTTACACTAGCTGAGGATGTGGTTCCATATGTTTTAAGCTTCTTAGCATCATATCCTTTGAGAACGAACCATGTGTTTATTCTTTAATGTAGTACTATATTTAGCTCGCGTAGGTTTACCTGGAAGAGAGTAATTATTGTGGAAGGGGTAGCAGGGTAGGGAGAGAATGCAGCCAGTTTACATGTAAAATACCATGAATACCTACAGCACTGCATAGTTAATACATAACACAATTGCACTAAACATTTTTATTTTAAAACCTTCCTGGAACACATTCAACGAAACCCTGCTCATCTTACCGCTGTACAATTGCCACTGAAGCCCAGGGGAGTTCTGCATGAGTTTGCAGGATCTGGCGCATTGTAATGAAATATACATGAACATTTTATTGGTAGGTAAAACTCTCCATTGCTTTAGGGCCACCACACAAAGTTACGTGAGCTGGAGTCCAGGCAATTCTTCTGGGGATTGGAAGGGGTTGCTTGTGTCTGCCATTTTATTCGTATCTCCAGTCATATATTCTGTGATAATGAACATCCCCTATCCCCAGTGCTATAAAGAATGTTTACCACCATTATAATGATTGCCAACATGTATACATTTTCCCCCATGGATAATTCTGCAAATAAGCCTTGAGTGGTGAATAGGGTGATGGACTAGGTTTCAAGAGACCTGACTCCAATTCCTACCTCAGTCACAGACTTTTTACGTGACCTTGAGGAAGTCACTTAATCTGCCCCATGTCTCAGTTCCCTGTCTGTAAAATGGGGGTAAGGCTTCCCTACCTCAAAGGGGTAAAATCCATTAGTCATTGTGAGCGGTTCAAATTCTTCAGTGATGAGAGCCATACAAGTAGATAGATAGACCAGCCACCAAGGGTTGCATGTGCATTCTGGTGATATTTGTTATTTATAATAGTCATAATGGAATAAGTATGGCTTCAAAACTAATACTTAAAGGCAACTCGCTACCCCCAAAACATCTACCAGCACTGTGTTCATTCTCAGCCCCATGTAGTAATATTGCGTTGGGATGTTGCAATACACAGTGGCAATTTGTCACAAGGATGCAACACTGCAAAAACCACTGGAAACCATGGGAAGTCTTGCTTTGTAAAGATGCATATTAAACCAGTGATGAGAGAACCCCACACTGCTCAGACTTTAGGATTAGTTCAGATAAGTATCCTACAGCTTGGGCATTTGCCTGGACCTCAAGAGTGCTCCCACCAGGCCCTGCAACCCTCCCCATAACTAACAAGGCTCAAAGGCTTTGGGTGACCTTTGTCATCACTGGGGGAGTTTAGGTAGCCTGCCAACTCCCTCCATTATGTTTGTCCAGGCGGGCTCTAGGTTTCCTTCCCTTGCAGCTTCTTCCCCTTTTCTCCCCCCTCCTGTGGTTCTCCCTTTCCAATACTTGCCCTTCCTCTCTCCATACAGAAAAAAACAAAACAACCACATACTTTCAATCTGAATGATTATTATCTGAATGATTATTATTTTTAGAGTAAGGGAAACTGTGCTTTCTCATGTCTCCATGACATGGAGACATGAGAGAGCACAGTGTGTGTCTTCTTTGTAACATGCTGCTTCAGCTCTCCCTCACAAAATGGCAACTGCCCTTGCAAATATCAGATTCTTAAAACATGAAAAGTTGCAGTACATGGGAAAACTAAAATATACAACATGCTTTTCCCAACACTTCCACTCTCCTACTCCGTGTTGTCCCCTTCTTCCACTCCTGTTTCATGGTGTCTTTCTCTTAGTACTGTAGTATGCCTATTCTCTTTATTATTTTTATTCTTTTGTATTACAAAAGAGGCTAGGAACCAATGAAATACAGAACTTCATTGTGCCAAGCACTGTACAAACTTATAGTAAGGGACAGTCCCTGCCCCAAAGAACTTACAATCTAAATAGATTAGACAAAGGGTAGGGAGAAAGGACAGAACATACAAGCAGAGTCAAGGATGTGGAGATTTGTAAATGTCATGTTAATTCCCTCACTCCTTGAGGGAGGACTTTAGCTGCTGCTTTTGGGGATTGGACTGGGACTGAGGCAGCCTGTGTTGCTAGCTGTCGCCTCCTCTTCCCAGCTCACCCTGTCTCTCCTCCAGATGGTAGGAGCTAGGAAGCAGAGCAATGGCAAGGATGCACATAAAGCCGTCAGTGGAGCAGATGCTGGATGCCCATAAGCAGTATCCTTGAGAAATGGAAGGAGAAAACCACAGCCAAAATTGCAGATATCTGGGACACCCAGTGGAATCCAAGCATGTCCTGGAAAATTCGTAACTGTTAGCCAAAACCTGCAGTTCTTACTCAAACAAATTCTGCAGGCAGGGCCGGCTCCAGGGTTTTGGCCGCCCCAAGCAGCCAAAAAAAAAAGAAAAAAAAAAAGCTGCGATCACGATCTGCGGTGGCAATTCGGCGGGAGGTCCTTCGCTCCGAGCGGGAGTGAGGGACCGTCCGCCGAATTGCCGCCGAATACCTGGACGTGCTGCCCCCTCCGAATCGGCCGCCCCAAGCACCTGCTTGCCAGGCTGGTGCCTGGAGCCGGCCCTGTCTGCAGGATACGTCTTTTTGCGATTACTTGCAGAGTAAGCAGGGGGTAAGCAGAATGGATAGGAAGCCACTAGCTTTCGCTGTCTGCAGATATCAGTTTCCTTGTTACTACTGGGGAGGAGTATCACTTGGTATTGAACTGCAACCTTGTCAACAACAGTATGGGTGGGAGAACCACTAAGCACAAATGCAGATGGTCAAGAACCAAACTGAGCCCAGTCCTTTGGGGAGGCCAGGTCTCTCTTCCTGCCGCCATGTCAGACAGACATTTTGAGGTGTCCCTAAGTTTGAGCAGGAAGAGCTTAAAGAACTTTGGACACTGCTAGCTGATCAGTCCCCACTGAATGCTATCACTGAACAACTGAATGAATGACTGGATTTCTTTCTTACCCATGCTGTTTTGGGGAATGGCTTCCCTCTCAAGAACTGTGGAGTGATGACCTGGTCCCCTATGAGACTGACCGCAATGGGGTCACTGAACTGAACCATTTGCCAGAGAGTGCTGTGTATCACTGTTCTTTTTGAAAAAGACCAGGGGAGAGGAGGAAAGGGGTTCGATGCATTTTTCATTAAGAGTACTGTCTGGATCTGACCTGACTCTGTGACCCACTGCTAGGAGGACTTCATGGTTCCATATTTGTGTAGTGAGAACCTCCCTGACCCCCCTGTGCACACACATACACTGCATAGTGTTGAGAGTACTGTGACTTTTACCCTGTGACCAGAGTTGTTACTATGACTCCTTAGTTTTATGGGAGAAACCTGAGATCATTGAGCAACTGCCAAAGAGAAATAATCACAAAGTCTGGATCTTATGCAGGCAATTAGTGTTGGAGCTTATAAAAAAACAGTAAAGAGATAGGGCTGTAAAAAAAATATTTTTTACTTTTTTATACGAGCTGTTGAATGTAGCGATACAAATCTGCTCTGTTTGGCCACCGCAGAGCTGCAGAATTCATGTTGTCTGTCTTATTTATTTTGTCCCTTGTAAAACTAGTGACTGAATACACTAAAGGTAAACTTGCTTCTCCTGGGCCCACATGTTTCTGAGAAATTCTGTCTTTCCTTAATGTGTAGCTGGTTCATGCAACTTTCAGAGGAAGTCCTTTGAGATTTATGGGCAGAGCAATTGAAGTTTTTAGTCCCTCAAGAGTCAATGCCTATTAAAAAGTACCTTTTCTGAAAGGTAGCATTTGAATTTGCTTAGCGGGCTCATCCGGTAGTCTCAGTCTTCATGAAGTGAGCGAACAACCAGTGTTGTAAGATAGTGAGGATACAGAATATTATAGTGAGACAACATAGTCTAGTAATTAGAGTGGGTGATTGAGAGCTAACTGGTGGGTTCTGTTCTCCACTCTGCCACTGGTTCAGTAGGTGACCTTCAGCACATTACATGACCTCATTGTGCCTCGGTTTTGCCATTTGAAAGTGGAGATGATAATGATTAAGGCTACGTTTTAGTCTCGGGTATTTTTTAGTAAAAGTCAACAAAAATTCACAGCCCGTGATCTGTCCGTGACTTGTACAATATACCCCTGACTAAACCTTGGGGAGGGGGATGTCTGAGGGGGAAGAGGCGTGCCATGGGTGCTCTGGAGGGGCAGCGTGGCTGCTCGGGGGATGGCCTGCGGGGATGCGGGTGCTGGGGAGGGGGAAGGCGGGCGTCAGTGCGCGGCCCAGGACCCCTGCTGGTGCTGGGGGGTAGTATGTAGAAGAATAGTGGTCCCTATCACCAGATAGGAGGAGACATGGCGTGACTCGTTCAGCACCCCTTTCTAGCAGTAACTTACCTTCCAAGTATGGTGCCTAGCTTGCTATTTCAGATAAGCTGCATGTAACAGTGGGTAAATGTCCTATTCTCTTGTTTTTGATTCTATAGCTGTCTCTAACCTGGATGCAGAGAGTAAACTGAGTGTGTACTACCGAGCACCTTGGCATCAGCAAAGAAATATTTTCCACCCCTCTACCAGACCGCCCTGTGTGGAGGAGCTGCACCGCCACGCCAAACAGAACCTGCGAGCCTTGCGTAGAGGTAACCACTTCCACAGTCCTCTCTCACTGTACCCACACTATGGGTCTGATCCAGAACCCACTGAAGTCAATGGAAAGACTCCCAATCACTAAGCTTTGGATGAAGCCTTTAGTGAAAAAACAGGAAGCCATGCTAAGCAGGGTTTTCCCTTGTTTTGCTTCTTTATTATTATGTATTTTATTTTTTAAAAGTTTTCTTTCTGCTTTTTTTTTAAACCTTACAAATATTAGGATTGTCACATCTGTCTTCCATGTTTTTTTCTGGCGGATTTATTGGGCATGTTAGAGCTGTCTACTGTGAGCTCTCACTCTTAAACAGAATGGATGGAAGTGTTGAATTTTAACAAAGACATCTTTTCTCCCAAGTGTTAAATGGTCACAAAATAGACAAAAATACCTCTGAGGTTTTTATAAACAGCCAGACTAAAATTTTCTTTTCTTCCCAATTATTCAGCATTAAGTGTCTTGTTTTTTATTATGTCATTTTGCTGGTTATGACAAAGTCTTCTGGGGTCAATAATACTTGAAGGCCATTACAGAGAAGCAAAATGTCTGGTTTGCATCAGTCTTCGCTGCAGAGGATATGAGAGAGATTCCCAAACCTGAGCCATTCTTTTTAGCTGACAAATCTGAGGAACTGTCCCAAACTGAGGAGTCAGTAGAGGAGGTTTTGGAACAAATTGATAAATTAAACAGTAATAAATCACCAGGACTAGATGGTATCACCCAAGAGTTCTGAGGGAACTCAAATGTGAAATTGCAGAACTACCTACTGTGGTATGTAACGTATCACTTAAATCAGCCTTTGTACCAGATGAATGGCAGATAGCTAATGTGAAGCTGATTTTATAAAAGGCTCCAGAGGAGAGCCTGGCAATTCAAGGCCAGTAAACCTAACTTAAGTACCAAGCCAATTGGTTGAAACTATAGTAAACAATAAAATTATCAGACACATAAATGAACATATGTTGGCAAAGAATCACGACAGCTTTTGTAAAGGGAAATCGCGCTGCATGAATCTATTAGAATTCTTTGAGGGTGTCAATAAATATGTGAACAAGAGTGATCCAATTCAGATAGTTACTTGGACTTTCAGAAAGCCTTTGACAAGGTCCCACACCAAGGGCTCTTAAGCAAAGTAAGCTGTCATGGGATAAGAGAGCAGGTCCTCTCGTGGTTCAGTAACTGGTTAAAAGACAGGAAACAAAGGGTAGGAATAAATGGTCAATTTCTATAATGAAAAAAGTATAGCAGCGTCTCTCAAAGATCTGTACTGGGACCAGTGCTGTTCAACATATTCATAAATAATCTGGAAAAGGGGGTAAACAGTGAGATGGCAAAGTTTGCAGATAATACTAAGTTACTCAAATAGTTAAGTCCAAAGCTGACTGTGAAGAATTACAAATGGATCTCACAAAACTGGGTGACTGGGTAACAAAATGGGAGATGAAATTCAGTGTTGATAAATGCAAAGTAGTGCACATTGGAAAACAGTCCCAACTATACATTGTGACAAAGTTATGTCCTTGACTCCGTGGGTCCTGCATTTCCTGACGGATTTTGCTAACCTCAGAGGCTCACTGTGACCCTCCACAT